ACAGGTGCCCATCCTCATCTCTCTGTCTCTGTGTCCACAGGTGCCCATCCTCATCTCTCTGTCTCTGTGTTGGCAGGCAGCTATCCTCAGCCTTCTAGCTAGTTTCAGGCCCTTCTTTGTGTTTTAGATACTGTGTAATTATATGTATCCGGTTTCAGGGATTTTCTTAAAGTCTAACTGTGGCAGATAAAGAATCAGTGTCTCTAAGGCATCTTCACTTCCCCTTTCAGTGAAGGCATGGATCTGTTAACATTGTAACGGCAGAGCTAAGTTTTCTGCTGAGCTGTGGACTGTATTATAGCACAGTGCCATATGCTTGATCTGCTCTTAGAAATATAAGCTCACTCCTGTCCACTGCAGTGCGTTTGTGTTTTATTGGTTTGACTCACTCCCTGAAGTTGTTCTCTCCAGAAGCCTGACTCCGAATGATAGTGTGTCCTCCTCACCCCCAACTCCACACCCTATTTACCGAGCTGCATATGTGATAGGCTGTTTTAATAGAACATCCTCAGTGTTTTTAGATCTGTAGTAATTCCCTGTCCACTTCTCTTCTTCCTATACCTCTTACAGGGTTATATATTGATGTTCTGGGACAGAACACTTCTTTTTCTTTTTTCAACTCAATTTATTATTATTTTTTTTATAGACCAATTACAGTTTTCCCTCCCTCCTCTCATCCTGTTCCCTCCCACAACCTCCTTTCTACCCACCTCCCCATCCACTCCTCAGAAAGGCTAAGGAGTCGACACAGTATAGCATACCAAGTTGAGGTAGGACCAGGCTTTTCCCCATGCATCAAGGCTGAGTGAGGCATCCCACCATAGGGAATAGGTTCCAAAAAGCCAGCTTGTGTGTCAGGAACAGATCTTGGTCCCACTGCTAGGGGCTCCACAAACAGACCAAGCTACACAACTGTCACCCACATGCAGAGGGCCTAGGTTGGTCCCATGTAGGCTCCAGAGCTATCGGTCTAGAGTTCGTGAGCTCCCAGGACCTTGGGTCATCTGTCTCTCTGGGTTTCCCCATCGTGATCTTGATGCCCCTTGCTCATATAATCCCTCCTTCTTCTCTTCAGCTTGATTCTTGGAGCTTGGCCCAGTGCTTGGCTGTGGATACTCTGCATCTGCTTCCATCAGTTACTGGATGAAGGTTCTATGATGACAATTAGGGTGGTCATCAATCTGATTCTAGGAGAAAGCTAGTTAAGGCACCCTCTCCACTATTGCTAGGAGTCTTAGCTGGGGTCATCCATGTGGCTTCTTGGGAGTTTCCCTGGCACCAGGTTTCTCCCTCATGGCCCCTTATCAAGATATCTCTTTCATTGCTCTCCCTCTCCGTCCCTCTCCCAACTGGGCCATCCAGATCCCTCGATCTGTCATGTTCCCATCCCCCCTCCCCTCCCCTCTACACAGCCCCCTGCCCCAGTTTACTAAGGTGATCTCATCTATTTCCCCTTTCCAGGGAGATCCAAGCCTCCCTCTTAGGAGCTTCCTTGTTAGATAGCTTCTCTGAGGCTGTGGATTATAGCCTGGTTATCATTTGCTTTATATCTAATATCCTCTTATGAGTGAGTACATACCATGTGTGTCTTTCTGGGTGACAGAATAGTTCTTTATTTATTGATCAATTGATTTTTGAGACAGGGTCTCATGTGGCCTAGCCTTAAAATAGATATGTAGCTGAGGATGACCTTGAACTCTTGTATCTTTCACTCTTAGTACCACTTCCGGTCTGCTAAGATTACACACAACCACACATTGGGAAGAATCCTTTTTTTGTTCCATGATTGTTCCTTCATCCAACCAGCTGGTACTTATTCCAGTATTTTCTCTACCTTAGGAGACTATTAATTCTATCACATTTTCTGTTTTCTACAATGCCTTTGTTTCTTTGGAATCCTTTTTCATCATTTTGTCTTTACTTTTTTTACTTTCATCTTTCTCTAGTTTAGCTGGTTTTCTTCCTCCCTCCCTTTCTTTCTTTCTTTCTTTCTTTCTTTCTTTCTTTCTTTCTTTCTTTCTTTCTTTCTTTCTTTCTTTCTTCTTTCTCTCTCTCTCTCTTTCTCTCTCTTTCTCTCTTTCTTGAAAGAACCCAGTAATAACTCTTCTCCCAAAGTTACAACCAATTTAGGAAGAAGCTGAAGAAATGTACAGATAAATTACTGGTAAAATGGTATGATGTTTTAGATTATGGTCCAGGTGGCTTTCTCATCCATACACTAAGTCTTGACTTAGCTATTGGCTACCTGCCGGAACTGGGCAACTACAGACCAACCATATAGGAGAAGGTCCCTGGCCACACTACAGAGAGGATACCTGAAGACTGCTGGCTGGCTCTTAACAAAAAGAGCAAGGTTTAGTCAAAGCCTACCTGGTCATGTCCAGCTCAGTGAGCGGGTGGAGCAAGAAAGAGCGACCAGTCTTCCTGGTTTGAAGTCCATGTGTGGGTAATGTTAGCAGAGGAAATGCAGGGCCCTTTCCCATCAACCCTTTCTAAGGCTTGTGATTGTTCCTCATCCACCCTGTTCTCCAATGCAGCTTTTGTTTCCAGCCTCTAATATTACCTGGCAGAGGTCACTGGAGGGTGGGTGCGGGAGGATTCAGTATTCCGATTTGAGCCTGCCTCTACACCATCTCAGTATCAGCATCTGGGGCTCTTCTCTCTGTGGGTGTTCAGCTTTATGTTTTGTTCTTAGACTCCTCTTATGGCCCACTGGCCACATGTGGCCAAGGATTGCTGTGACTAGGACCCAATACAGACTCCTGAATTTCATAGGTGACAATCTTGTGTCACAATGTCACAGAGTTGAAGACATCTCTGGGACTCTGATCTTTCCAGTGAGGTGTTATAGCCACTGGTGTTTTGGTGGCAGGGCTTGGGATCTGATGTTTGGAACTATGGGGGCTTTTGCTGAACTTAGGTTTAACCCCATCTTTAACATGACCTTTCTATATACACCTGAAGTCCGTGGTTTGGAACTGTTAAAACTGGAAGCAGTTACGCTTGTCTCTGAGGCTGCCTGACTCTTTCTGTCCAGACTGGGTTGAGGCCGGCATCTCACTACATTTGCCCACACTCCTTGGTAGTGTTCTGTGCAGGCACCCAAAGTGGTCACTGCTGACTCAGTTTACCACTTATTTCTGTCTTCCATGGTCTGTTCAGAAGGGCCGCTGTTACTTTTTTCTTGTTAGTGTTCTGTTTTAATTCTTTTACCCAGAGTTTAGAATTGGAGAAGGAAGAAACAGGAATGCCTATGCTATTGTATTTAATAAAAAGTTTTATGGGTGTTAATTTTATATGCTGTATTAGTCAAGGCTCTCTAGAGCAACAGAGCTTATAGGATGAACCTCTCTATATATAGAGAGAAAGGGGGATTTATTAGAATGACTTACAGGCTGTAGTCCAGCTAATCCAACAGTGACTGGCTATGAATGGA